AAAAAGATAGGGAATAGAAAGGGACAGGAAAAAGAAGGGAAGGAGGAAGTGAGGAAGTGAGAGGAGAGAGGAAGAGGAGAGAGGAGGAAGAGAGGAAGAGAGGAAGAGAGGAAGAGAGGAAGAGAGGAAGAGAGGAAGAGAGGAAGAGAGGAAGAGAGGAAGGGAGGAAGAGAGGAAGAGAGGAAGAGAGGAAGAGAGGAAGAGAGGAAGAGAGGAAGAGAGGAAGAGAGGAAGAGAGAGGAAGAGAAAGGAAGACAAAGAGAGAGAGAGAGAGAGAAAAGAGAGAGAGAGAGAGAGAGAAGAGAGAGAGAGAGAGACAGAGAGAAAAAGAGAAAGAAGGAGAGAGAGAAAGAAGGAGGAGAGAGAGAGGGAAAGAGAGAGAGGGAAAGAGAGAGAGGGAAAGAGAGAGAGGGAAAGAGAGAGAAAGAGAGAGAAAAAAAGAAAAAGAGAGGGAGAGAGAAAAAAAAGGAAGAGAGAAAGAGAGAAAAGAGAGAGAGAGAGAGAGAGAGAGAGAGAGAGAAAGAAAGAGAGAAAGAGAGAAAGAGAGAAAAAAGAGAAAGAGAGAGAGAGAGAGAGAAAGAGAGAGAGAGAGAGGGAGAGAGAGAGCTAGAGAGAGCAAAGCAAAAATAGAAAATAGTTTTTGTTTTTGGCTTGCAAATGTAAGGTGGTCTGTATTTGTTCTATTTTGACTTATGCGATGTAATGAGTTTAAGGTTTGTAGTAGTGAAATATATACATATATAATCTAAATGTAGAAAGTGAAGTATGAAATTTGAGACGGTTTCTTAGTTAAAAGGTGTTTAGTTCTATAATAATGATACAAGGAAAAATTTGATTTGCACTTAATAAATCATATTTTTGTATTGGATGGAATTAATGAGGCAGACACTCGTTGTAGTGGAGCATGAGCTCAAACATGTAATGTCCATTTCTGGGCGCGATGGTCTTGGATAATTTGTAGTCTATTGTCTAAGGTCGTGTAGTAGTGGATGGTGAAAAAGGTTGTTATGTAGTTTGTCATGGTCGTAATTCTTGAGAAAACAATGTAGTAATGCTTTATGATGTTGGGTAAGAATGATTATGGAGAATAAATGAATCTGTAATATTGGATATTTGTGTATAGGATTTTTGTGTTGAAAGTCGTAGAGTTGGTCTCGGTTGTAGAGGTAACTTAGGTAGTTGTAGGGGCATGTGATAGTTCTAAATGTTGTTATTCCTCAGGCTGCAGTTGTTGGTGCAGGTAGGCATGTTGCAGCTTGTGGATGGTTTGTGGGAATGGTGTAGTTGGGAGGTAGTAGTTCTATTGTATTGATATCATGTAGGAAGTGCAGTTCTTGGTGAAATGGATAAATTGTCCTGAAGTGAGATATCTTAGGATTAGTTTTGTTGTTGTGAAAATAGTTGATACTCTTCAAGAGTGAGTGCAGTGAACAACAGAATGTAGGGTGTGTTGTCGGGCAGTGGTGGAGTAGTTGGTTGTCTGGTATTCCGTGATGTTGTGGTTGGTGCATTATAGTTGTCGGGTTGTAGTAGCTCGTGTAGAATGATTGAAATGGTAGTTGGTCTCGCTGTGGGTTTGCCTGTCAGGCGTAATTATATCTCCCATCATAGTACGTGCAGTAGATGCAGATTGCAGCTTCCATTCTTTTGACCCATGCAATGTAGTCAGCTCAAGGCCTGCACTAGTGAACATACCTACAACTGTAGGAAATGAAGCTTATTGTTTGACAATAGAGAAAGAGAGAGAGATAGACACGGAAACAAACACAGAGACAGAGATAGACACAAAAACAAAAACAGAGACAGAGGAGAGAGAGAGAGAGAGAGAGAGAGAGAGACAGAGAGAAAGAGAGAAAGAGAGAAAGAGAGAAAGAGAGAAAGAGAAAGAGAGACAGAGAGGCAGAGAGAGAGGGAGAGAGGGAGGAGAGAGG